CGCCTCAAAAAAAAAAAAAAAAAAAATTCAATTTAACCACTTGTACTACCCTAGTCTCTCTGAGAAAGACATGCCTTACTTCAAGGAAAAAGGGGTCCTTTTTCCTCACAAACATTTCCTCATAAACTTTATTTTTTAAATGCTTTTAAAACCAGATTCTAATTTAACTAATCTAGATTTGCAAAATTATAAAGAAAAAATCTTGCCAGTTGTTGCTTCGGTTATGTTAATTTCACAATTTAGCACATTGCAACTACGTATTTAATACAAAGCAGCCTTGGCGCGGGGCGGGGTGTGTTTAACAAAATGTATCTCAGCACCAGCCTAGAGAAACTTTTCTGTGTGAAAACAGAAGAGGGGTTACCAAGGAGAAATTCATTATGGATTTTGGGAAGGCTTTTTCCTCAGAAATTGAAAAGTAAAAGTCGCTGTGTAAGAAATCTGATACTGACGCTGTGTGACAGAAGTCGGTTCAAAAGTTCATCTTCGGCAATTATGTCTAGATGATCAAGTACACATCTTCTACAACAAGTGACATGAAACTGCATTTCCCAAGCAAGGCAAAGCGATCAAATGAGTTAAGACGCCTGTTCCTGCGGTCTTGTGCTTTTATTTTTCATTTAACCAAAACAATTTTGAATCGGATAAATTACCAAATTTGGTTGGGTCTTGTTTGGCTTTTTGCTTTGCTTTTTAATCAGCCATTTACCAGCAGCTGTTGCACGGGCCCATTAGCACTCGAAGAATAAAAACGAACACACAGGACCAGATAAGGTTCCCCTACTAACCCAAATGATCCGTTTCCTTAACACAATTTAAAAACCACAGCTAGGGAAAAAAGGCATGTTTTTGTGTGTGTTTGTGTGCCACAATCTGTCCAAATCCTTAATTCCCTTTTAAGGAATAGATATACAATAAAAATCTGAAAGAAACCTCATTAGAAATGCAAAGAGGTTTGCAAAACAAGAGCCTTCTTTCATTCCAGAAAATCACAGCAAAACAAGGAGAGAAAAATGAATGCAATGGATATGTGTTTGCCAAAGTTTCTATCCTGCCCGGTGGAGACACTGTATTGCACACAGTTTTTGAAGAGGAAGAAGAAGGGGTTGGTTGGTGGGGGAGAGAGATCGAGCGAGTGTGGCCTGCAAACTGCAACAATGCAATCTCCATTTTGAACAGTGCACCTCTTTCCTCTTGTAAATCTAGTATTTTTGCCACTTGATGTGTCCTTGCATTTCCCCTATTTCGGTGGTCAGCGGGGTTGGGGGGCG